GGGCAAGCCTGCAGCTCCGGCTGGAGAAACGCCGCTGCCGGGGGAGCACCCATGCGACGGCCAAGTGGAGGTGGGAGGTGACGGACCGTGCTCCCACACAGCCGCCCACCGAGTAGCCGGGGCAGGCGTCCCCGGCGTCCCCGGCGTGGGGCATGGCCGAGGCAGCTCGGCGCTGAGCGTACCGCTTTGAAGGGGCAGTGGCAAGGGATGCCGTAGGTGAGGAGGGGCTCTGGGCAGGTCGTCCCCGGAGGGATGAGGTTGTCCAGGATGGTGCAGACGTCGCTGTAGGTGCAGCTGCCCAGCTGGTCGACGCAGGGCAGCTGGATCCAGAGCTCGCCCAGCGCCTTCTCCACAACCAGCACCGCCTGCAAGAAAGGGGGTCTGACACCAGTGCAGCCCGGAGGCGCCGGCGTCCTGCAGCTCCTCCGCTGCATCCCACCCCGTCCCCACTCTGCTTGCACTCAGCCATCTGCCCTCCTCCGTTTTCGGGCTTAGACTGCAGATTGTCCAGCACGGGGCCTGCATCTTGGGTAACTGCAGGGAGCGGGGTGAGTAGAGATTTGCACCAGCCCATCTGAGCTCAGAACCAGCCTGCTTGCAAGCTGACGGGCCAGTTCACAGCAGGAGGGGTAAAACGCAGGAAGAAGCAACATGGGAGAGCTCCCTGAGGGCTGGAAGTGTCTCATCCAGCACGGCTCAGCGGAGATTAAACTTCCCCTCCCCTGTTCTCAAAAATTACGTGGTTTCCTCCAGACTCTTTACAGCACCGAGCACCAAAGGTGCCGGCAGGGCGACCTCCCGCGGCACTGCAAGAGACACCAGCTCGTATATCCGGTCCCACTGCAGCACCCAGCGCCGGGCTGCAACGTGCCAGCCCTGACTGGCCGGCAGAGCCCAGCGCTGTCCCAACCCTCTACAAGCCCTGCAAGGGCAGACGAGGGGGACGGTCGCGACGGCCCTGACACCATCCAGCTCAGCGCCCTGCGGCACACGGGGATAGGATGGGAGATGATCCCAGCCCTTGTGGGGAACCTTGTGATGCGAGGGGAGAGCTGCGCTCCCATTGCCCCGGGATGTTTGTGGGGCCATCACATGCCTCCACCTCCTGGCCACCTCCTTCCCCTTCCCGCTTTTGGTTCCTCGCTTCCCACAGGTTTCTCTTCCCTTTTTCCAGCCTTGGCTTGACCACTGACCAAAGCTTTGTGCTTGCACTGCCTCCAAGCCCCCTGCACGCCCTCTCCTCCCCTTCTCCCATGGTGCCCCTTCCCAAAATCGCCCAGCCCAGAGATGATCCCTCGCACTGCCAGGCCGGCCCCGCTCCGGCAGCACCCTTCCCGCGCCCACCGACGGCTCGCGCCTGCTGCA